ATATGCCCATAACTCAAGCGTAGAAATTCGCCAAAAAACTAACAGACCGATGTTGGATATCAATCCAATCTCTCACATACCTGAATGAATAAAAAAGAGAATACAGGCTCGCAAAATTATGAAGCATCACACTCATTTACTTCCATTCAGTGCATAGATTGACTAAAAGCTGTTTGATAATCTGCATTTGGCTATACGTGTAACTTAATGATCCACTGCTACAGTCCAAACTAATATTTCTATGTTGGAGCGACTCTCCAGTAGCACCAAACAACATGAATAATTTGATTATCAACCCTGCTAATCTGACATGGAATGCCAACTTCTCTGTAGGAAAATGACTTTCTACAACCTTGATGGTTGAAAGACACAGGAAGTGCATCAAAATGAGCATTTTCTGTGTCATGAATGGTGGGAAAAACAAATGGCAGTTGGTCAAACTAGACTGAATATGGAAAGTTAGTTAACTAGGGTTTACATTGGTAGTTATCTGAGAAATTCTTCTTTCTGCAATTCCTTGTATTAGCAGACACTGTGCACGACTTGACAGAACCGTTGTGCACGGTCTGGCAATTGTACTAGCCAACTGGTGCTAATCCTATAAAATTTTGCACCCTGTACCAGAATTACTAATGAAAAATCTAGTATTTTCAGACTCCTTTTCCTCTCTAATTCTCCCCTTTCCCCCCTTCCTTATTCTCTCCCTCTCTTCCTCTCTTCTCCTATCTTCTCATTCCTCTCTTACTCAAACCCCATTCACAACCTTCATTCTTCTGAGCCTCCATAAGGGTCAGGTCCTGGAACTCATGAACCTGAACCCTGACATTCTGCTACTTCTATCTCTTCATATGCATGTGTTAAACGGGTATGAAAAACATTAAAGGTGATTTTATTCACCAAAAGTATGTGTTTTTATAATATTACAAAACATGAACATATAGAGTTCTAGCTAACAAAATGTGGGTTGTTTAACCTTAATGACAAAAAAAATATAATATTAGCAATACATATAAATTAAAATACAGATTGAATGTAAGAATATATTTATCCCTCTATGTTTATCACATCACTACCCCTAAGGAACCTCACTAACAAATCAATAGTTCCCCTCACAGTCCACCATGAGTAACATGCTGAGACAGGATATATCATACAGTATTTTAGATTGATGATCCCTTGAGATAGAGTTGTAAGTATGCCATAAAACAATATACAGTTCACGTATCACACCAAGAAGATACAAAAAAAATTTAGGACTTAATTTATGGATCACAGAGAAAAGCCGTATATACTTTTGGGGTTAGGTACAATCCGTCATCTGTATCAAAATACATATCAGAAAGTTCCCCAATAGTTTAGGTTGGAAAAGTGAGGCGATTGTGTATAACTTCTTGGTTTCATGAACAAAATGGTTTTGCTTGGATGCAAAGTCAGAGTAATGACAGCTCCGCAAGAAGAAACTATATAAATTCTGCATTATTCTTTAACATTCTAAGAGAATTGTACCTCCAAGAACCTCATTCGCCAATTCCAAGTCAAAACTAGAATCGAGAAGTCAATAGCGAAAGGAAACTCGCAACCTACAACACACTAATGCTGTATTGGTTTCAAGCTATACAATGCATTAGTCCTTATCATTTGATCTGCAAGATTTACTAACTATTTACATATTTGATATGCAAAGGAACCATCTTCACTTATATTTTCAATTCCATAATAATGGATTTGAATTCTCACTTGTCAAAATAAAAAATTATAAAAAACCAAACTTGTATTGCCTTGGGATTAATGCACTACTTTCATACCATTTCTGTTGAATTCTCATTCTCATTCCATATAATTAAACCTTTTAACCAACAGAGTCAATGCCCCTTGTTATGAGCAAAATATAATTCCCATTCACTTCCTTCGGCCATGAAACTCTGTAATGGTCAGTGCAGCTATACAATTTGCTTAAAGAAAAAAAAAAAGGAGATAGAGAAAAATAAGGAAACCACTACCACTTGAGCATTCTAGAAAATCTAAGAACGGCATGCCTTGTACTTGTTAAGTCTTATGAAACGACTACGTTTAAATTTTCTCGTCATCTTCCCAAGCAATTTCTAGTACTTTATTCTTTGTACATTTTACAACTAAATAAATCGCTATCCGTTTTCATTAAATAAATTCGAGAATGAGTTGTGAATAGTGATGAATAATTCTCATTTCTTAAACTAACATTCAGTACTTGCACGAGCCAAACACAATTTCACGAGTTATTATTCCAATGCATGAACAGCCAAGTGAATTGTACAAAATTGGAGTTGGAACCTAAACCAGTTAGTGGCAGCACAACTTTGTAGCAAAAAAAAAATGTAATAGGAAAAAATCAAAATCAATTATGCATCTCAAACTATCATATAAACTATCTATATAATTAAGATTTTTTTATACAATTATACTCCAATCCTTCGAAAACAAATAAAAGAAAATCGGAAGATAGGTACTAGAATACATACCAAGAGAAGGACTAGGTGGCGGAGAAACCATTGAAGAATACATGTAAGAATCAGATTTCATATAATCCTCAACCTTCTTTGAGAAACCATTCTCCCTTCCCTTACTGGATTCTGTTGATTTCGACCCCAAATTTACAAATAAAAATTTATTGAAAGAAATACGAAAAAAAAAAAAAAAAAACCTCGCGAAAAGATAAGACCCGTAAAAATTAGTTCAGAAAGAGACCGAAAGCTGCGAAGAAAAATTGGTAACAATCACCTGTAGCAGAGGAGAAGATAGGCATTGGCTCGGCAAAACCAGACGGCGGAAGAGAGAGGAGAGGTGCATACATATAGCAATCAGTTTTGAGGTAGGCTAAAACTTTGTCCAAGAGCAGCCCTTTCCGATTTCGATGAGCGGGTTTTTTACACGTTTGAACTCCTAAATACACCATTCTACCATTCTTCTTCTCCATGGTTTTAGTTTTGCAAGAATTTTGAAATCGGGAAAAGATTAAATAGTGCGAGAAACGGTTCGAATTCCATGGAGAGGGAGACACTTGGGTTTGCTATGTAACTCTGTTCTAGCGGTTGTGATAGTTACGAACAGGCGTCTCGTGGGAGAAGCATCCTTGTTGGCCTCAAGAGAAACTGCCACGTCTAACCATAAAGTTTTTATTTTTTTTTTAAAAAATATATTTTTAGTTTAATAAATAATTTTAGCTATTAAAAATTTAGAAAAATAGTAAAAAACACGACAATAAATTGGCAGAATAATTGAAGGCACTTGAATTTGTACTGATTGGCCAATAGATTACGTAAAAATTAAGCACAAAATAACATTTTACGAGATCCAATTCGTGGGATACATGCAGACAGTGAAATGTTCTTTAACATGGAAGAAATTAAGAAGAGAGCATTGGAGAAGAGAGTAAAGAATATGATGGGTAGTTTAATTTGAAGGTATCACATGAATTTAACAAGTAGATATGGTAAGAACAACATTTTCAGGTGAATTTTTAAGTTAATAAACCCTTTATTTAGGGTTAATCACCTGTATAATCAATGTTTTTCATTCTCTTTTTTTTTTTTTTTTTTTTTTGGGTTGGGGAATCACAATTTATCATGTGGATCTTATTACATAGATAGGCGGGCTAGTGATCAGAAACAGGCCTTAAACCATGCTTAAGTGCAGCTTCCCACACCAAATCAATCCTATCCACATCAATTGCTCCAACTTCATGGTGCTTCCATCCTTCCAATAGGTGAACCACCCCCCCTGCATGACATGCATGAACCACGCCTCGATCCATCGTATACTGTTTTTTTAATTAAAAATAATTAATTAGTTAATAATCATTATATCATTCTTCAACGAAAATAAATATATAAAATAAATTTTACCTCACAACTTCCGAGTCCTTCAACATCTTCGGGTAATCTCATGGCGGCAAGGTCACCATAAGTGCAGTTCTTCCTAAATGCAAGTATGGGAGGAACCACAAATTGATGGAAATGTGTCCCTGCTGGAGCCCAGCTTTGTTCCCTTGGTGTTATCCACTTCCCAACTATCCATGTCTGCGTATTATACATATAAATATATATGCATATACCCATATAAATATAACAATAGTTTTAAGGAGTTATGTACACCCATTCATTTATATATATATGTGAACTTACTTTGCAGTTTTGGGCTGCCTGGTACTTGGTGACTTGAACAAGGTAGTTCTGGCAATCCACAGGGGCCTCTTTTTGAATCTTTTGAAATCTTTCTGATGATAATGTTAACATCTGCATGGTTAATCTCAGCCGTTAATTCATCATAATTTTTTAATTTTTTTTTTTTTTTTTTTTTTTAGAAATACATAGTTGGTAATTGATTAAAGACTTACAAGAACTCGAATTCTCTTACGGCAAAGGTAGAGGGCAATTGCTCTTCCGAGCTTGGAAGTTGCTCCAGTCAAGAACACCTCTTTCACATCCTTTGGGATTTCATTCAGAATCACGGCTGCCGTTAATGTATTCCCATGAACAACTCTTACTTTAAGCTCTGGATGCTTATTCACAAACAGTGTTCCTCCCCCATTTAAACCTTCATTCTGTCAATTCATCAATTAGTCACTAATTACCCATTAATTATTGCTGTTAATCTAACACAAATACTTAACATCCGGCCTGAATGGCATTAAAGGTGGAAGCTTTCCTGTCCACTAATGTGCGGTTTACTTTTAAAATGTATTTATAACTCCAACCACCATCATCAGAAATCACCAGATAATATTTAAACAAAACAAAACATGTAATAAGTGTTGTAACTTATCTCTGTCTTTATTTCACTGTACGATGTAACTTACCTTGTTCAATGCAGCTAAACTAATGACCTTAACGCCAAGTCTGTCAGCCCTTAAGATAGCCTCCTCTATTTTATTGTTAATCCCTTCTGCAGCAAACGGCAAGAAATACTGCCAAACAGAGAAATATCTAGTTGTAATTATAGAGATAAACTGGGATTGTAGAGATAATTGGGATTTGTAAAGATACCTGGAAGCCAAATCTTGGTACAACCCAGGTCTGGTGTAAGCGGCCTCTGAGAATGTAGAAAGAGTGTAGAAAAGCCTTAGACCAAGCCCACATACAGAGCATGACCAGGAAAGTAGGAATCCACATCGGCAGCAAGAAAAGCCTTGGAGTGTAAGGTAAGGATGCGAATGACCTTAAAACAAATTGGGCATGCAACGACGACGTTACGTCCACAACATGTGCTAGGAACACAAAATCTGGCACTCTTCCATGTTTTCCTGCACCCATTATTTCTAATTAATTTTGCTTCATTCAAAAATAAAAATAAAATATATATATATATATATAACAATAATAATGATCGTAGTAAATTCTTGGAAGTTGAATGGACCCACGAGAAATGTACATGCAGGATTTCAACCATGGATTTTGTGTAATGGTCCCCATGAAATTGGTTTAGAGATATTCATGTATTAGTTTGAAGCAATGAATGCTTGTTTCCATATGGGTCATCAAAATACCTGAATGGGCGGTAAGTTGCCAGGATTTGTCATTGAGGGTTTTCCACACTGCGTCAAATATAGGCATAAATAGGCAGAAGTTGGTACCCATCTCGGCATGGTGAAGGCTGTGATATCTGTTCATCAACCAAAAATTCAATGAACTCCTTTATGTGAGATATATATCTTCATGATTGCGACACATCACACAACTAATTTCTTATAATAAAAAAAAAAAAAAATTACATGTTTCCACACATTAATTTCCCTTAACTACCACTCTCATCCACCTAACATGAATCATCTTCACTTAACTGATCTCATAAAATTACCCCTTCTTACTATACTTCTTTCACCCACCTATATGTATTATATATATATATGTGTATATATATTTATAACTTCATAAATTACACCAAGTAAAATCTGAGTACGGATCTATCCTTTCAAGATTAACACCAATTAGGAAAACAAAATAAAGATGACAGATGGATGATCACTAATTGTCATAGTTATTGAGCATCTCCATCTATGACATAATATAATATAAAAATAATACACAATACCCATTTTGGAAAATCATTTTCTTTCAATCATAAGTGGGATATTAATGACTACTTTACACAAGTTGCACCCATCCTCCTTTATGTTACCTCCTCAAAACCAGGTAACTAAAAGAGATTTTATTTTAAAAAAAAATGGAAGGAGGAAAGTTAAACTTACAGAGGGGTGGCGAGAAGAAATCTAAGGAAAGGAAGAAAATGAAACAGGGTACGTGGAGCAAGATCAAGATTGGAATGAATCCAGCATCTTAGAAAATCAAAAACCAGAACATAGCCATAGATCAAGCTTATTGATCCAACTCCCATCAAAAACGAACCCAGTAATGGAATTCCAATAATTGCACTCAGAAGTAGTTGCTCCAAGAATGTTGCGTGTCCAGCTGCATCCCAACATTAAAAAAAAAAAAAAAAAAATCAGAACCAATTAATAGGAGAGATGGGTGGTTTAATTTATTTTCTCATTTTTAATTTTTTACCAGTTACGGGCTGAGGTACAGGGGACGAGTGGTGCAGTGAATGGTAATTGGTAAAAATGTAGTTTCCATGGAGACGTCTATGGATCCAGTAGTACAGAGGTTCTGAAATCGTCACATGGAGTAACATTAACGCAATTAACCCTTTTGTGTTGAATAGAGGAAGCTTGTCAAAGCATGGGAACATGTAGCAGACCGCGCTGGCAATCAGAGCCTGAAGAAGTATGAAATTATCCCTGTAAAAACAAAAAAAAAACATCAAAAGTTTAAAAAAAAAAAAAAAAAAAGAAGAAAGACTTGAGGCATATGAAATTACTGCAAGATAAGTTGAATCAATGAATCTTTTACCAGTGCCATTCGTTGTCTATCTGCTTGAAATCAACTCCCTGTTGGGTCAGCCGACGATCGCGAGTTAAAAAGAGCATGTTGCAGTAAGAGTTCCATAGGGTGTGGATTAACCCTCTAAGTGCACAGAGGATGAGAATATGAAGACACCAACTTGGCTTGTAACTTTCATAATTTTCACTGTTCATCCATGAATGCACCACTTCTGCGACTAAAGGTCCGTATAGCACATACTTCACCATGCAAAAAACAGAACACACAACATCAGAGTACTAAAATAAAATCCCAAAAAGAAAATGGAAGAAAAAATAAAATCAAAAAACCTCATTGGTTGTTATAATTAATTAATACCTTGAAATTACCCAAGTTTTCCCAAGGCCAAGATGACAAAAAAGCAGACATCTCAACTCCTTATCCTCTGTTTTATATATATATTCTCTCTCTCTCTCAGATATACATGCACTTCTCCTATAATTTCAAGCTACCCAGTTCAGAACAATACGAAAAGGAGGGGGAGGAGGAAATCCCGGGTGTAGAAATGATGTAATTAAGTTTCTAGTTCTGTAGGAAGCTCAACCAAAGCAAAGGGTTTTATAATTCTGTCACCTCCACAATTACTTCCAAGAAAGAAAAATAAAGAAAGGAAGAAGGAAAGAGAAGTGGTAGCAAGTAATTAGCTGCAGGAAGAAGAGGGTCTTTGTCAGGTAGGTTGTTTTTTTTCTTTGGTTGGTGTTTATGATATTCAGATTTTACATATAGAATGTAAGGGTTATATTGAAAGGCTAGGTGTTGGGTTTGAAATTGGCCTGCTCATCTTAGGCCTGGGGGTGGCACAGGGACAGCTGTGAAGTGATGGCGGAATTAATGGTACCTAATATGGTTGGGGAGCAAGAGAGAAGAGTTGATGGGTTTTCTCGAATGTCTGCAGCTTCTTTTGAGTTCGGAAAATGGTTTGTGAACAAACGCGTGTAAAACTAAAAATGTTTTTGGTCAAAATTAAAATTAAAATCTATATTTGATAGGTCTAAGTAGAGAAGCTCGAAATATTAACTTTTGAAAGATAACTTTCTATTTTTGTTCTAAAATTACTCTTTATTAACTAACAAAATTATATATATGTATATTTTTTTATTTTATTTCATTACTGTTATTGTTATTGGCATATTAGCGTCAGCAGATCATTGATCATCCTCTATTACTAGTCGCACGTCATCCTTACTGACCAATTGACTATTTGTCACCACCCTCGATAGCTAATTGGGTATTGCTCGCTACCTTAAATTGTCAATTAGTTATTGGTCATTGCCTTCTATTACCAATTAGATATTCGTTGTTGCTATTGGTCGGCCACCATCCTCTACTAATTGATTTATTTATTGCCAGTCGACTACATTTTACTGTTATTATTTTTAGTCAATTAACCGCTTCATATCTCTACTCACCTATTGTCCGCTCTCTATTACCTGGTCGATACCCGTTTTTTTGTTGCTAACTCCTTACCGACTGCTACCTATTGTCCATTACTCATCACTTATTAATTGTCGTTTTATTAGATGTTGCATTCTTACTGCACGCTGAACTAATATTTTCTCACGTCAGTAGCTTTTTACTGGTTGTCAGCTAGCTTCTGTCACCCGTCAGATCACATCCATCCCCAACTCATTTTTCACTGTACACTATTATTTCTATCTACTTTTCACTGTACACTATTATTTCTATCTACCTCTAGTTATTTTTTTTGTTATTTATAGTCTATCGTCAACCATTATTTTAACATTATTTTTAAATTTACATTAAAATGTTCTTAATTACTTAATGTTTTGTATATTCATATTTTTAATAAAAATATATATATTAATTAAATAATAAATGCACATTTATTATGATACAAGTTTTTAATAATAATACATAGAAATATACAATATTCAATCTTATATTTATCTCGAATATTTTTTTATATAAGATTTATAAAGTCTATTTTTATATAATTTTGAATATGCAATAAATCAACCGAATCATGATAGATTTCTTTTGTCCTTTCTCATTCACATGTATATCATTGTGATTTTTATATAAGAAACCATATATAGAGCTAATTAATTAACTTAACTATTTTGTGCTAAGCACGTGATAATCAAGGCAATTATCTTATAACCCATCATTAAAGCTAACAATTATAGAAACTCAAACTTAGAAGGTGATAATATTTTTTTGATAACATAAATAATACGTAAAGCATGGTTAACCACATTGTCATTTCGTGTATGCGTGTGAATTAGAGATAATTGAAATTATATATATATATATATATATATATATATAAGAAATGCTTGAATGGGAAATTATATGTGATGCATGACAGCATTAATTAGATATTTGGTATATAATATATATATATATATATATATATATACTATTTAATAAGTATGGGTCTCGAGACATGTGGCAAAGAGTGCTTGGTTTAATTTCCCAACTAAATACAAGATAGAAAGTCGATCATGTAAACTTTGCACCAACCTCAGGATTCTCCTAACCAAGTCCATTTAAGATGGGTGGGGGGTTGCAAAATCATGTCACGTCGGTCTAGTTATCGGTTGGGGAAATGTACATAATAAAATCATATTATATATATATATTTATATTAATTTAATTTGCTAAATATGATTATCTCTTTTTCTTTACTTTTAAAATTAATTATAAATGATAGCAAAACGAGAATAAAGAGGAGATCACATTCTCTCTCTCCATCTCTATTTATTCTATGTTTTTCTTTTTCGATTTTTCACAAAATTTTTCCACCACCATATATATATTCAATTTTCATCTTATTTTTATATATTATAATTTAATTCCAAAAATTATGAATTTCTTCACGTGTACAAACTCCATCCATACTTTAATAAAAAAAAAGTTAATTATGATATATAAGATTTATCATTATCATTATCATTATTATTATTAAAAAAATAATTGTGTGATAATTTTTCAAATTAGAAAATATTTTTAGTAAATATCAAATACGAAAGTCAATTTTTTTTAATAATAATTATATATTATGATATTTTGTATATTTATAATGAATATTAGTCATTTTCTTCATTATTAAAAAAAATAAAGTATGGAGAGATCATGGGATTCAAATAAAATTAAGTCACTTCATTGCTTAAATATGTGGGACATGATTATTTAAAATTATTCTTCATGTTAAATGTTTAGTTACATATTAAATACT